CTTTGCCAGAGAGGACAGAGTATGCGTAAAAAGCTTTATGTAGTTACTGGTGCTTAGTGTTAGCATTTATTACACAGCGGTTCCTAATCATTTGGGTCATGGGCCCTGGGAGAACCTGATGGTACCTTTGGTTCTTTCTGTGTTCCCCCAAAAATGTCCTTTCTAAAAAGAGCTTGCAGGAGGTGCCAGGGTTAGACAACCGTTGAAGGTGGTCCCTGGCCCCCCAGGTGAAGGCCGTGCCTCTACACTGTTATTTAGGCGGTGCAATTTCCACCCCCCCCCACCCCCGTCTTCGAAGTCTCCACCCGTGGGCCCCTGACGACCGCCACTCCACTTCGATTCCACAGGAGGCTTCTCCATGCGGTCTGGACAGCCCCGCGAGGGTCCGGACGGAATTAGCAGCTGCCGCAGCAGGAGGCGGGCCCGGCTGTCGGCCCGCCCCACGTCGGGGTCGGGGTGGGGGCTTCGGCCTGTTACCGGATGGAAACTCCGGGTGTCCAGGGGGGCGGGAGGGAAAGGGGGAGGGAGGGAGGTGCGCGGGTGAAAGGCGCATTGATGCAGCCTGCGCCCGCCTCGAAGAGCGGCGGGAACAGACTCTGATCACGTCCGGGCTCCGGGTCTACTCGTCCAGCTCCTGCTCCGCGCGTCTCGGGGCCGCCGCGCGCCATGCGCCCTCAGAGCCCCGCCGCAGCCTCGGCTCAGCGGCTCCTCGGCCTCCTGCTGCTTCTGCTGCTGCAGCTGCCGGCGCCGTCGAGCGCCTCTGAGATCCCCAAGGCGAAGCAAAAGGCGCTGCTCCGGCAGAGGGAGGTGGTCGACCTGGTGAGTGCGGGGAGCCGGGCGGGACAGAGCCTCCGGCAGCGCGGGCAGGGCGTCCGTCCAGCCGTTGTGTGTGTGTGTGGGTGGGAGAGGGGGTGCGAAGGGCGGTTTCACAGCTGAGTGATGTGTCTTACTAGTGTGGGCCTGGGTGTCGCTCTTTGTCCGAGTCTACGTGTAAGGAAAGACCTGGGCTATGCGTGTAGTGGAGTTCTGGGACTCGCAGGGGAGACCACAGTGAGAGGATCATCGTGCGGTGGAGATGACACATGGGTTGGGTGGGATGCCCCTAAGTACAGGGAGTCGCCCAATGATTTCTGGCCTCTGAGGCCCACCCTGGGATGATGAAGAGGGTTAGTGCGTCAATAAGAGTGCAGTGAGGAGACTGGGTAGATTAGAACGTTGACCTGGGATCTGCCTGGGAGATGGGAGACCCTGGACTGGATGATCACCTGGGTGGGCTGGGCCAGGGACATGCAACGTGTCCTTTGTTGGGCCGGTGGCCACGTCGGCCTGCAGGAGAGAATAACAACCCTCGTAAAGCCTCTGTCCAACTCTTTGTAACTTGAAGACTATGAGTCATGTTGGGTCATCTTCCTAGGGAGTATGGGCTGCAATTTACTTTGTTGGAAGACCACAGCTGGGGCCAGGAATGTTTAAGGCCAGAAGGGGAAATGAAGGGGCCCAGCACTAAGCCTCCAGGGGCCCATTTCATTGCTCACTTTAGAACATGGGCAGCCAGTCCTAACAGACACCGTGGGTCCTCAGCCTGTGACCGCCAGGTAGGAGCATCACAGTTGAGCTGAGGGAGAAGACAGTTTCCAGGAGAGCAAATAAATGGTCCAAGTGTTTTCTTAGGGGCTATTCTATGGAGAGGTCTGTTGACTTAAAACTCTTTCCCTCTAAAAGTCAACAAACCCAGTGGAGGGCAAAAGTGATCCTTTCGCAACTATCATATTTCTTGACACATATCTTCAATCCGTAAGCCAGTCTTAATTGCAGACAAATATGGTTTACAGGCATTGCAGGACATAAGAGAGGAGGCATTTTTTTTTAAAAATACTGTTTCGAATTTCTTAAGCTGACATTGTAAACTGAGCTAATAAACCAAGCTCCCTGGCGGCTAGTTGTAAGCCAGATTTAAAAGCTCTGGAAAAAAATCCCTGCCATTTCACACAGCATTTTTGGGTAATGTGCTATGTAATTTTGCTCCACAAAGCTGACTATGTGTTCAGGGCTACAGTTCTATTTTAAGTGTCTAAATTGTTAAAAACTGTACCAAATGAATGTGGCTCATGTGCAGTTTGCATTTGTAGATTTGTAGTTATGATACATAAAATACCCCTTTCCCATATAGAAAACTAGCAATTTTTTTCTCTTCCTCCATGGATTTACAGTACCCGCGGTTTCCCACAGCTCTAGCCCAGCTTGGAAAAGCTTACTATGCAGCCAGACTCAGGTGCATCCTGTAGTTTGGACTTCGGTTTTGCTGGGGGGAAAAAAGTCCACCTAGTCGTTAAGAAGGCTTCAACAGATTCTGTAAAGCCACTTCTTTGTACAGGATCTTTCAAAGCATTTCTTTCAAGCTTCCAGCAAGCTCTGCCCCCTAGTGGCCAGTGAAAGAAACAGGGGTTCCTTCCACAGACGGGTTATCCAGCCCCTACCTGGCAGGTACTAAGCATGTGCTGTTAGCAGTTTAAAGTGAAAAAAGAAGACATTTAATACCTGTGGAACCAAATTCCATAAAATTATATGGCCTCTGAAATACAGTTTTTAGATGAAAATCTAAATAAAAATTTAGACCACAGCACTATTGACATTTTAGGCTAGATAACTCTGTTGTGGGGACTGTCTTGTGCATTGTAGCTTATTTAGCAGCATTCCTGGCCTCGCCTCACTAGATGCCAATAGCAATCCCCTTCTGCCAAGGTGTGACAACCAAAAGTGTCTGCAGACATTTCCAGTGTCCCCTACGGGACAAAATTGTCCCTTGTTGCGAGCTACTATTATATAGGAAAATGAAACTTTGTGTAGCATCTTATCCTGAGGGGAATAATAGTGAAGACATCAAAGAATACCAGAAGTCTTGTTGTTTCTCCCTTCCCAACTGAAATTTATGTCCAAACATTGCATGTATCTGCTAGTGTAAGTGAATGAAATTACTAAAATGAAACATAAGTCTGAAATAAACTAGACTATCTTAGAATATTTTATACTTTAGCATGTCTTCTAATATTTTGCAATTGTGTTACTTTTCTTACTGTTTCTCTGGCAGTAAATAAATAGCTGTGTCTTCCCCCCCCCTCCCCTTACAATCAGGAAAGTAGCAATGGGCAAAGTCACAAAAATCATTTCTTAAAACAAAGATCAAATTGGTAATGTGAGAAGCAAATTAATTGGCCAACATTAGAGACCTAAGGATCCTTCTGAGGCAGTGTCATTATTGGATTTTATAATACGAGTATGTCTAATCCCAGATGGTGAAATTAATAGATAAGCTTTGAAGTTATTTTAGTATATAAGGGAACTTGTTTTTCTGTTCTCATTGGACAGTACTTTTATATAGAATGATAGTATTGGACAATCTACATAAACGGGGGAATGTTAAAATAAAAATTTAAGTGAACTAGGTTTGGGATTTGAAGGGTCTAATAAGTGGATCAATTCAGGAATTTGACAGATGGAGATCAAAAATATCACCTTTATCACTGATCCAGCTACATTGGTGTGTGCGGCTTATATTTGTTAAGTGGAATGTTTGCTAATGCTCTCTTCTCCCGATCTAGGCCCTGGTAAGGTCCACCCAAGGGCGTGGACACACTTGCCCAGGGTCACTTGCCTCACATGCTCTTGGAGGAATAATAAGAATAATCACGCTTGGCATATGCAGTGTTTCCTGTGTACCAGGCACTGTTCTAAGCACATTTTATCTATTATCTCATACATCTCATACAAACCTGGCAAGGGAAGAATCTTTATTACTTTCCCCATTTTACAGATAGGGAAACAGATACTGCCATGTTAACTAACTTGCTCTGTCTCACATTGCTAATAGTGGTGGAGCCAGGATTAAAATCCCAAGAATCTGGCTCTAGGATCAATGCTCTTTAACTTCGTTATGATACTACCACTGCCAACCCCCACCAGAGAAAATCCTACCACTGAAGACATTTGATAGATTACTGCCACCCTATTGAAGACAAACAGTCACCTGCAATGAGGTCATTTAGTCCCTCTCAGGGAGGCAGAGTGGGGTTGGAGATCAGAAGTGTTACCCTAGTGACACGTCCGCCACATAAAATTAGGGAGGGGAAGCAGGGGATGTGTATATCCAACTTAGAAATATTGCCAGTGTGAGATAATGATTGACTGTTAAGATTTTATTTCGTAATTATATCTCTAGGAATTTGTTTTAGGGAAGTAATTCAAAAGAAAAAAGCTATATGGATAAAGATTTTCATTACAATAATATTAATGACAGAAAAAAAAATAGAAATAACCGAAGTATCCCAAAATAGTGCAATGTTTGCATAAAGTTGTAAAAGTAGAATTCTGAAATCCAAGTCTCTTTACAACATATAGAGAGAAGGTTAGAAGGAAAAAGCAGCACATCAAATTATGTCCATCTTGGAAGACAGCTGTTTAAATATTGTGTATGCTTTAATGAGCAGTAGAAAAAAGCAGGCAAATGAAAACATTTTGTCTTTGATTTGTGTGTGAATGTGTATAAAGTCTGTGCAATAAAAAGACTAGGAAAAAAGATCTCAATTTTTTAGAAATAGCTTTACAATCAATTCTCTATAATAACTCATCTAGAACATTGCAAGTACTCAAAATAAATGAAAATCTAATCAGATCGAGTCCTGGAACTTTAAGTGGTGCGAATTTTTCCCCCTTTCCTTTTTCCACTAGTATAATGGAATGTGCTTACAAGGGCCTGCAGGGGTTCCTGGTCGTGATGGGAACCCTGGGGCCAATGGTATTCCTGGGACTCCTGGGATCCCAGGTCGGGATGGATTCAAAGGAGAAAAGGGAGAATGCCTGAGGGAAACCTTTGAGGAATCTTGGACACCTAACTACAAGCAGTGCTCATGGAGTTCGCTGAATTATGGCATAGATCTTGGAAAAATTGCGGTAGGTAAAATCTGAATTGTTTTCAAGTTGAAGCAAAACTTACAGGTTTTCAATTAGTGTTAATTTTAGGTGATATTTTATTTATTTTTACCAAATACTTTTTTAAAAATTAAAGAGGAGGTACCTTTTGTATCATATATAAAAAATCTGGGCCTAATAAAATATTATTTTCTCATGATTTCTTCTAAATATTTTACTATTTTGTTTTTTTTAAAATTTAGTCTTTTAGTCCATCTGGAATTCAATTTGTATATGTGTACAGATATAAACGTTTTAGTACCAATAATTGTCACAGTATCATTTATTCAATAATCCATCTTATTTCTCCCAAATTGTATTGTAACACTCATCGAATAGATTTAAAAAAGAAAAAAGAAAGAAAGAAAAAAAGTAGGTACCATGTGACATTAACTGAAAATTAATGAGAAAAAATAGATAACTTGAATTTTATAAAGGTATTGCTAATTCCTAAGACAAAGAAATCACCATATTATTTTAACCCTAATACTTCAAATAACTTACTCTTTTTTTTTAATCCAAACAAAAAGGGAGAGCATATGTGGCTGTGTCCACAAGATTGGACAGTAAGCAACTTTCCCATCTTATCCTAATGTAAATTTAAATTAGTCTAAGAAATTCTGCTGTGGCTCCACACATTAAGAGTGGGAAGAAACTTCTAAGAAATTACTACATGATAGGAATTATCTGGAAGTGAGAAGTCCACTGGTAATTGTCCTTATTCTGGGTAGCTGGACAGCTTAACATTGCTCAGCCTAAGAGAAGTGGAATGGGCCAGAGATGTACTACTGTGACTATTTTAAGTTATTCTGCAAGATTTAGGAGGAAATTGACTTAAAATAGCCTGTCTGGCAATGCATTGTGATTAATGACTCAGTCACTTTGACCAGTGTTTGCTTAAAAAGTATCTGGCAAGCCCCACTGGATGGCACAGAGTTGAAGAAGTTCCTACCATTCCTAATCCTTTCTTTTGTTGACCAAGTCCTTATGTGATTCCATATCCACAAATTATTATTGGTTCATGATATTACCACTAATATCACCAGAAGAGATTTTATTTTTATAAAATTCTGTTTTAATCTGTGTATTAATCCTGATCCTTATCTCAGCTCTTTAATGTCTGCTCTATTATCTGTAAGATAAAGTTTGAGACTGCCTTGATTTGATTTTTATGTGATAGAATTTCCATATAGCGTCTATGGTTTGGGTGACTGTGATCATTTTATCTTATTTGTGATTTCTTAGAAAGCATTTTGTTAAAGTGTTGCCTACTTCTTCAAACATTTGACATTGATAACCTGGCTGCTTATTTATAGTTCATCGAAAATTGCTGAGTTCTCTCTGAAACCATGTCCCTATGGACTTTGAATTATTAATATGTTTTCAAGTTCCTTTCAGCAGTAGTCGGAATGGGTTTGGGAGCCTTCCGCAAGTAAAAGATAGTAGGACCATGAGCCAATTGACATACAAAATTTGCAAAGATCAATTAGACAAACAAACAAAAACAAAAAACCCTAAGCCTTATAATTGTGGCCCATAGGTAAAGACTGAAAACCTACCTATAGTTGATCCCCTGATACTGTTTGCTGTTGCTCAAATAGAAACCGGTCAAGAGTAAATATAGCTGGACAGTGCTATTCTAGAATGTGAGTTCCGTGAGGGCAGGGAGTCTTGTCTTTTTTACTGCTGTATCTGTGGCATTCAGCACATAGAGCTCATAATATATTTTTGGAATGAAAACAAAATGTAAATATGTAGATTGGTTTGGTCTAAATACTGAAGACTAGAGCTGTTTTAGGGAAAAGTGAACGATATCTTCAATGGGGTGAATAATTTTAAGAATGCCATAATTTGATTTTTTTGAGTTCCTAACATCACAGTCTCATCTACCTTGCAGAGCATCTTTCTTCCTCTGTAAATGTGGTTTTTAAATGTGTTTTGGGAAAAGGATAGTTAAATAAAATTCACAATACAATTTGAAGGCATCTTTTTAATTAAAATTGAAAATGCAGATTAAACCCTTTTTCTGTGTTTGTGACAGGAGTGTACATTTACAAAGATGCGTTCGAACAGTGCTCTAAGAGTTTTGTTCAGCGGCTCACTTCGGTTAAAGTGCAGAAGCGCATGCTGTCAACGTTGGTATTTCACATTCAACGGAGCTGAGTGTTCAGGACCTCTTCCCATTGAAGCCATAATTTATTTGGACCAAGGAAGCCCTGAACTGAATTCAACAATTAATATTCATCGCACTTCTTCTGGTATGTAGAATAGTGGCGATGCAGGATGTATCTTAGATCTTTAGAGACCAAAGATTAGTTTTGAGTCCACTGTTACGTCGGGTCACTAGGCTGTTATTAAGAGACGTACAGTAAGTTTTCAGTGCATAGTGCTCCATCCTGGTTGCATTTCAGAATACCCTGAAATGAATCTTTAAAAAAATATGTGGATGCCCAGGTCCCATCTCTGACCAACTGAATCAGAATCTTTGGGGGTAAGACTGTATTTAAAAAAAAATCCTCAAGGTTGAAAATCACCAAGTTAGAAATGGCAAAAGGGCCAATAATGCCATAGAGCAGTGGTTTTTAGTGTTGGCTACACATGGGGCTCAACTAGAGAACTTAAAAACATCCCAGGCCGGCCGAGTGGCGCGTTGGTTAAGAGTTGGCTTGGGAGCACGAGCTCTGAGCAGCAGGGCCACTGGTTCGGATCCCACATTAGCCAATGATGCTGCGCCCTCTACAGCTAAGATGGTGAACAACAGCTTAACCTGGAGCTGGGCTGCCGTGAGTCACCAGCGATGGCATAGGCTGCAGGGGGGCTGCAGTGGGCTGCCATAAATTACTGTGAGCGGCTGGCAGCTGGTGTGAGCTGCCAAAGAACTGCTGTGAGCCGCCAGTGGCCAGTGAGCGACTGCCTCAGGTGGGAAGAGCGCAAAGATCACAATACCAACATGGGCCAGTGAAGTGACGTCTTCCACAACTAGACTAAAGAACAAAAGGACAGCAACTTGTCTGTTCCCCTTCTCCGATTCCCCAATGCTGTTCCCTCTCCCAATTCCCCATTAAAATCTTTAAAAAAAAATAAATCCCAATGCCTGCCTGGGTACCACCCCTCCAGGGAGTGTAACTTAATAGGCCTGGTGCTCCTTAGGCAGTGGGACTTCCAGACTCTCTCCCAGTTATTCTAATGTTCAGCCAAGGTTGAGAACCTCTAGCTTAGATTGATAAGGAGACCGATTTCTCTGCCTTGTCCTTTAAAAGAGTAGATGAAGTCTGCTGAATTTGTAAAAGAGAACATTTCTACATTGTTCCTGCGTTCTTTGTTTTGTTTCTACCTAGTACGAGAGAAAAGACATTCAATTAAACCAGTGGTTAGTTAAGCTGTAAGAAAAAAATACATTGTTTTGTTTTCTTTTATTTTAAGGTTCATTAAAGAAAGCTTAGGAGATATCAAAAAGTAGAAGGGGGAAAAAATTTACCTGTTGATGTCATCATCCAGACACACCACTATTGATATTTGGCTGCCAGCCATTTTGGTTTCTTGAGTGGCTGTGAGGTGGCACACCATGACAGCACAGGCCGGGAGAATGACAAGATGTAAATATTGCTAGCTTCATTTCTCTGATTTTTTAAAGGAATTTCTCACTAATTTTGTACTTAAAAATGGCCGAGGAAAGAAAAGAAATCCCCCCATTATTAACCAGAGGAAATTATATTACAGCATTCTTTGGGAAGCCAAGTCAGACACTTAACTCAAAAATTAATATAGCACATTTATCCTTAAGAAATCAAGGGCATCCCTTCCACATTCTTCTTCAAATCTCCACAGTAGTCTCGAGATGTAAAGAAGACATTTTAAGGCCCTCTCTTTGCACATAGAAAAGGCCCAAGGAATTAAAGTGTCTTACCCAGGACAGCAGAATCAGTGTTCAGAGAGCAGAAACCTGATCCCTGCCCCCTTGTCTTCTTAGCCCTCACTTTGATCAGATTAAAAAGCCTCATCACAAAGACAAATATCATATGATCTCACTTATATGTGGATTCTAAGGAACTGAATGGATGGGAGAAGTAGATGGAGATAGTCTCAGAGACACAGAGGAAGAACTGAGGGTTG